CCCTCGATTTTGAAAAAGGGTTGGAAGCGTGGCGTATCCCAAAAGTTATCAAACATTTTCAAGCGACAAAAATGTAGGGATTCATGGGAATATATGACAAAAACCTACAAAAAAACGAACCCACCAATAGACACATGCCGTGAAGTGCCGAAGAACATGTAGAAAAATGCAGGAAAACATGACGCGTAAAGACCGTAGACAGGATCGACTCCAGCCAGAGCAGAATAGGCGATACCTGAAAGGCCAGACAGATGATGTAAGAACAGAAATAACAATATAGAATACAGATAAGAGATATAAGAAAGAAGAATAAAATTTCAGGCCACTGACACCCACCTTGAGGTACATGCATGATACCAGTGGTGAATCCTCCAATGATATCATTCATCAGATTCTCCTTGATGGAATATTTAGGAAGCCATTCGAGGATTGGCATGAAACCAAATATGGTGTTCACAAAAGGTCGCACCCCTGTGAAAGGATAGCAGTACGAGCTATGCAGTGACCTCAAATTCACGATTTCACTCCGAACACAAGCCAATTCCACACGATAAGCCTTACCTCCCTAACTGACGCAAAATCGGGACCTCGTTCCTCTGTTTGCCTCCATATTCTGCATCGTATTCTTCCTTAAAGGACAGTCATCATGAAAATTGTAAATGACAGATGAAGAAGACGGAAGTCGCGTTAAACAAGGCCTCTTTCGGCTAGTGGAGCGCTGATATGTTAAAGTGTGGGTGAGTGAGAGTGGGGTGGGGGGTGGCGGGGTGTGCGAGGGGGAGGGTCCGAGGGTGTGGGCGGGGGGCGGTGGGGGTGCGGGGTGAGGAAGGGGAGTTAGGTGTGCGGGCTTTACGGAATATGTTCCTACGGGAGGTTGAGGCAAGTTGGAAGCTTGTACGGGTGGGGGGGCCCGGCGGTCGCGAGGGGAGAGCCAGACGAGAGCGAAGGTGGCGTAGCGCTGCCAAGGGGGAGCTTGAAGTAGGTACAAAAGAACCAAGGGGCATCCCGAGTGACTTTATCACTTACCGATGGTGGGGGGCGTGAGAGAAGTTGGTGAGTCTGGGTAGGCGATTAAAAGCATCTAGTGCGAGGAGCGTCGAGGGGGGGGTGGAGGCGGGCGGGGAGGAGAAGAGCGCAGAGAGCGTTGAGGGGATGCAGTCGGGGAGAGAGGGAGGTGGTGATTGCAAGTGGGGGTGGTGTGGGGTGAGCCCGTGACTGTACCCGCACTCCACAAGGTCTGGTTTGACACTTTCAAGGCAATGGTGTGAATGAAGCGCGTGTGATGCCATTTGTCGCCGCGCAGAGGAAACTTGAATCTGACATTCATCCCCTAACTAGAATAGTAGCAGTTCTTCACTATATAGTCGTCTTATAGACTAACTGGGGAGGAAGTTTGAATCATTGTTTCAATATTTTCTTACGATTATGAGAGATCAGTAGACCGATGACGGGTGTGAGAAAGGCTCGTTTGATCTGGGCGAAATTCGGTCCGAGATTTACTAGCCAGGCTAGAATGAAATGATGGCCATATAGTCTTCTTCGCTGCGGATGCTGGGCGTATCGAAAGGGGGAGGGGATGTGGGGTCGCACCATCCACTAGTCAATCTCCACCAATCGTTGAAGCGGGTCAAGCGGCAATAAGTGGTGAATAACGGGCTGGCGGTGCGCCAGCCAGATCTCCCCCCCCCCCCCCCGATACGCTCAGCATCCGCAGTGAACATGATGTTACTAGGGCCTCTTCTTAGCCATTGCATGGTGAACGACGAAATTGCACATGATCGATCTTAGAAGGAGGGAAAGCAAGAAGGAAGGAGGGAGAGAGAGGATTTGGTGGTTGCCAGAGGGTCGGAGACTCTGTATTTATTGCAGAGGTACCCTCCTAACA